GACTCCCTTAATGCCCAGGGAGAGGCTAAGGTAGGCCAGACATACTCTGGAAGAGAATTACAGCCTTTTTTTTAGGATAAATCACTCCATATCCTGTCCATCCAATGGCCAGCAAATCCCTGCTGCAGCAAAACTCATACAGAAAGTGCTACCAGGAAAGTGCCGGGGGTAGAAACAGAAACTATTCACATTAATCCCTCAGCTTGTCTATTTTTGCTGCTCCTTGAAAAGGACAAAATTTCTTCCTTTCTTTGTAGCTCACCACTTTGTTCCAGGCAGTGGGTTGCACTTTCTCCTTTCATTTCTACGTTGCTTTGTATCATAAACAGCTAAAAATGCTTGGGTGTATACTGTACTCTGGGGGAAAGAATCCAAAATCCCACCTATTGGATATGAAGCACTCTTTAAAACCATACTATCCTTTCACCTGCATGTATGAATGACAGCAATCAGGAATCTGCCAAAATGGAGGCTGTGGGAAGGCAGAGCCCAGGTGCGTGCAGGACTGGGAAGGCACAGCATCAATGTACTACATCATTTATCTATCATGGAGAGCCTTGCTAACAGGACTGCCAACCTTGAAAAACATACAGTCCTTCCTTTCCAGACAGAAAACCAGAGGGAAAGCTCCTTTTAACCTCCATAAACTTGGCCCAGCTAATGAAGTTGTTGACCCCTCATCCCCCAAAACCCATTTATTAGTGGAGGTTAACAGAGACTTGTGTCTGCTGAAAGGCAAAGCCTTTGCTGCAACTAGGGCACAAAGCCTCTAAAGCACAGGCTTTTCGCATTCAGCTTTCCTGCCATAGGGACCTAAATTCTGCACGAGATGCCTTGGGGGGAGGTGGGACAAGACAGTATGAAAACAGCTTTATTATAACCATAATGTACCCATGGAGCATCAAGCTGCTGGAAATAACCTTTCTGAACTCGTACCAGTACATACACTTGGCTGTAAGCAGCAATGGAAGATACTGGGTTATCTGTATGTGTTCAGAGCAACGCAGCATTGCTTTTCTGCACCAGAACTCTATGTTTAATGTGCTGTCCTGCCAGTGTGAGTGAGCTATGCATGGCATCAAGGGAAGCCATAAATATTCAATGCTTTAAGACCAAAAAGAAAGAAAAAAGTAAAAAACAGCTGTAGGCTCTCACTATATTCATTCTTGTCACCAGGACGCAACAATTTGCCCATTAAACAAAAGTGGATGCTTCTTCTCTTTGGGCATAAGATTACTTTTATGGGACAAGGGATTCAGGCCTCATCCATAAAGTGGCCATGCACACCAGCTGGGAGGCCATGCAGCTCTGCTCCTGCATTTCAGTTGTTGCTTTGGGTTTAAGCAGCACTGTCAAAAAGCAAGCGTTTGCTTCCAGCACATAATAACTGCTCTGGGTTTACCAATATATATATATTTTATTATCGAGGTTTTAGTTTGGGTTTTTACATGTGTACAGAGTATTTAAGGAGTAGAAACATAAGAAAAAAAGTGAGGGAGGGGGGAAATCAAAAAGACAGCAAATAGTTAGGAAGCTGAGTTGTTTTGTTGGCATTGTGCTGGAGGAGACTATCACCATCTGGAGTACCAAATACAACAAACAGTAACCACCTGTTAAGAGCTATTCTGGTGTAGAAGGGGAAGATTTCCAAGTTCTGGCTATGCTGAATAGTCTCAATATTTCAGCGTTAATCAGACCATCTCCCCTGAACTGGGAAAACATGCTACCAGCTGTATGACCCCACACATCTCCAAGACATGCTGACCCACTGAGTGCTCATACAGCCCTGGCTCAACGCCCAGCGGCAAAAACTGACTGCAAAAACGCCATCCTGGGCTCGCAGCCCCACTTGCTTTTGCTTTTATCCCTGCTCAGGATGCTCACTGACAATGTGGCTGCTGCCTTCTCTGGGAGCATTAATCACTGATTTTATCTGTTTCCAGCTTTGTGCTGCAGGATGTTCTCAGCTCTGTTACCAGAGAACCTGTGCCGACACGATGCTTAGAGAATGTTCATGAGCTCAGACTATTTAAACCCTAAAATATTCATTGAACAAAATTTGCATAGAGTCTAGCTGAATGCTAGCAGGTAGCTAAAAATAAAGATCTTTTCAAACAGAGGGAGAAAATCAGAGTGAGACAGATGACCAAGACACTGCTCTTAGGCTCTCCTGAGACAGCTTTTAATAAGACGAGCTATGCTTTCATTCCTGTTGTGCAGGCAAGTCTACAGGGTATTATATTCTTTATGAACTGACAAGATCAAGAGTGTGTGAGGGCAACAGGGACACGGGCAGGGACACAAGGACCATCATCACTCAGATTTCAGGGAATTAAATGCAATCACTACGAGGAAAAGAGTAGCACCATAGCAAGCAATATGTGGTATTTACGAAGCTGTAATGAACATCCTAAACTTCTAGCCTACATAGTCTTGTAGTCTTTCTTGTCATGTCTTGTCTCTCTTTCAGAAGCTTTGGGGAGATCTTTACAGTCTCATGCAGCTTCTCCCTTATGGCTTTTGCAGAAAATGAGCAGCACTGTCCTTCGGAGCCTAAGTGTCCTTAAGCAATAGGAAACTTAGTGGTAGCCCAGCAAACTGGTGCATCATCCAGAAGCTATGGGCAATCTGGCATCTGATATGAGATTACACAAAGAAAGTAACCTTGCTTATGTGCAGGTTAGAAGGAGCATGGGAAAATGAGGTTTGCTACTTGCAAAATGTCCCAGGATGACAGGACATTGCATGAAATGCTCAGTCTTATACTTCTCTGTTCCCCCTTCCAACATGCAAGCAAGACTTTTAGAAGAAAGGATGACTCAAGCTATGCACTGTCATTGCAAATTCTCACTCCATACTTGCCCAGCAACCAACATGTCCTTAAAGTAGTCCCATGTTTCCAACAGGGAAGGCCTGTAAATAAGATCAATTGTTCTGCAGGACCAAGCATTGCTTTTTTCCTCTACTCTGTTTTCCATGGAAAGTTGGATGCTTACTGCAGTCAAATGATGAAGCTTTAATATTCTATCTCTAAAGATAATTTTTTTTTCTTCTCCCTTTCTTTCTTTTAACAAATCTCTAAAAAAAAAGATCCCTCCGATACAGGGCTGTTTATCCACTTCAAACCATCCGGCAAAGTTGTGTGCCCCAATCATAGGTATGGATTTAATACCATAATTGTTACTGCCTCTTCATCAAGCCATCATTTGTACCACATGCTATTCTCTTGCATCTCCCTGCCTTTGCTCAGCATTAAGAAATGCCTCAGTGGTTCTGCAGTTCTACCTCCCACTCCGACAGCATTTTAGGCTTCAAGGGCTTTAGCTGAGTTTCACGTGCTGCAGTCTGCACAGAAGACACCGCTGTGTTGTCAGTCACATAACACATCTACTGAGTTACTTATCAATAAGCAGAAATCTTCACCATGCCAATAATCAACTATCTGATATGATAAACTGTTTCAAAGAGGAAAAAATGAAAAAAATTACCTCCATCTTGCTCCCTCCTTCCCCAAACCAAATGATAGTCTTAAAACATATTTAGCTTGATGTAATTAATGATATCTATTTCCCCTCTGTATTGTGATTCAGCTGTTTCCAAATCTGTAAGAAGCACCAACAGTGAACCCTGTGGTGCCAGCTCAGTCTGGGGACGGAAATAATCAGCTTGAAAATAAACAGTGTTTTTTTGCAATCAAAGTGCTAATAGACATGGTAACTGGAGGACAGTAGCTCTTGCGAGAAGGGATGGAGAAGGGGGAAAAAGCCTGTTTCTTGCTGAATCAGAAATACATGGGAAGGGGCCAGGTGAGAATGACCATTTAGACTGAAGAAAGCCAAAGATATTTAGTATCATACAGTCAGCTCATACCAAATCCACTACTGGTTTGTTCTTGCAGTTTCAGGCACACTGCACTTATCACCTGCCTCCCATTTTATCGTAGCAATATTGGCTACAGCGGATCTCACCCTTTGCAGGAGTTTAATCCCACCAAATCCTTGGAAAATCACTTTTTGGAGACTAATATGGTAGAACAGCTTTAACTTTCTCCAAAACAGAGATACTTCAAGGCCTCACAGTCTCAATTGGACTGTGGCAAAAATTGGTTTGGTGATGGGATCTAAACAGTTGCGTGCATGAATCTACCACTTGCCTCCCAACTCAGTTCCTGCTGGCACAGAAAATAAAACCACACAAGGAGGCAGTGAGTTAGAAGCCAGTGGGGCAGCAGTATCAAGAGCAAGGGCACAGCTGGTGGCTGTTTTGCTGTGATTCCCAAACTCCTGGTAGGAAAGGCCAAAATCTAGACTTAGCAGGAGGCACAGCCTGGTCAGAAATGAGATTTCCTTCCCAAGGCATTCTGGCCTGAGCTGTTGGCTGCAGCAACACCTCAGGTGGCTCAGGACAGCCATTGCAGAGACTCAGTTGCTCTGGAGGGACCTGAAGAGGGGCTGGGCCACTGGGAAGCACAGTGGGGTTTCTAGCACAGTGTTGCCCGGGCTGGCAATTGAACTTTTGGCGAAGGATAGCTCTGCATACACCTGGAGCAAGAAAATAAAAAGACAGCAAACAACAACTGAGGCCTAACGGGAACTCGTTTTACTCTTTGACATGCTACCAGTGGTATTTATCTCAGAAGAATCAAACTTAAAAAATAAAAAATAATTAAAAAATCATTACAATGATTAAAAAGACACATGAAATACTATGCTCAAATCATCTGCATGTCATTGTCTGGTTTATACAGTAGGCACAAAACAGACCTAGGATAACCTGCAAGAAACGTGGGCCAGCTTTGTTCTCAGCCAGATACAAGTGCTGCTAGCCTGATACTTCTACTTAGCTGTAGCTGGGTAATGTTTGTGCTTAAATTGCTCAGCCAGGCCTCCTCTCTTTGGCATTGCTCACCCATGCCCTAAAGGGGTTGGAAACTCGTACTGAAGACAGAAATGGAGAAAGGAACAACAGAGAAGAGCGATTAATTGTACAGTACATACATACAGTGTCTTCTAAATTGTGATCAGTTGTTTATTGGTTGGCAAACAAGCTTCACTTTTACAACAAATATTAGTAATGAGGTCATTCAACTGCTGAGACCATACAAAATGATCATAAATTAAAAATAAAAATAAAAATAAAAGAAAAAAGAAAAAAAAGAAGAAATTATACTCCGTGCTGCTAATTTACCTCTGGAAAGCCTATGTTACTTGAAATCATGTCAAATAAATAAATTTCCTGTTAGGCAAAAGAATGAACAGAAGACTTTTTTTTTCTTTAAAAATCACTGCAAAAGTACTTTTTAGATCACTACGCATCAATCAAATTTCTTCTTAACCACTGCATTACAAGTGCCTAAACGGGGACCGGACGGGGCCGTGAAGGCCCTTAGCTCCTATGGGGAAATCACCGTCTCATGCAGAAGCCCCGCTACGACTACAAAAACCTCTTGGCTTCTAGATGCGAACCTACGGCCTGGGTGAGGGGCTGCTTGCCAAAGATGCTTCACAGGATTCTTGTTACGATCGGTTGTGCACTGTAAACATAAAGTTTGCCCTGCTCTATTCTGCAAAAAGTCTGCCGGCCATATGGCGGCTTGAGAAAGATACACGATGAGGAAAGAAAAGACTCTCTTGGTTGGAAAGAAACTGCCATCGCGTTTCTAAAAATGGTCCTTAGAAAGTGGTGTTTGTTTTTCTGCCCAGTGAGACTTTTTACCAGGATGGGAGGGATAGAGGGGAGAGGCAAAAGGAAAGAAAAGAAAAACAGGAGTTATGAAAAACCTTGCTCCTACTGGTAGACAAACTTACAAGACCAGCACAACAGAAAAAGTTCTTATTTTTTTTCCACTACATTAACAGGGACGCAAGTTCTGGAGGAACAGAAAGCAGACTATATGTGCAATGCTAGTATCTGTACATTACATAGAAATTGTTTGATTCTCTTTTTCTGCCATTAGTTTTGATCGTCAGTTAATACAGCAAAACATAAAATATGCCTTTAGCATATAATTCTAGGATTCCCTTCCGTATCATTAATTTTTGTTTCGGTTGCTCCCACAGCGAAGGGTGCTGCGATCAAACCGAGTTGTGAGCGACCAAACCCCGCTGCAAGATCTGGATTTGTGACAGACAGTTTGCTAGCTTGTTTGTTTTGTGCAGCACTCCCACCTAGATGCGTCATCGCTACTAGTTTCAAATGCACATTTTTGGCCTTTTTTTTTTTCTTTGCATTTTTTTTTTTTTTCTTTCTTAAATCAGGTCCTCAGTATTAAGAGCAACACAGCATCAAGGATCGTTTAAACAAATACAGCATAACTTGAGAAGGCCACGAAGTGTGCCGTTATCTGTCCTATCTCTTTCATTAACATAATGAAGTCTGTCTGAAGGGAGGGAGAATGGGGAGGAACTGGGGGGGGGGAGGGGGCAGCAGTTCCTGTTCTCTCCGGGCTGGCCTAAAAATTCCAGTAAAAAAAGTCTGAGAGTTTCATTTCGCTTAGAACAGCATGAAGATTTAGGAGTACACACAATATTACCACTGCTTGTATTAACTCAGAACAGTAAACCGAGCGTTACGGAGGGGCTGTGGGTGTCCGTTTGCTTCATTTTTGCTTAACCTTCTATAGACTAGTGACCAAATGAGCGGGTCCTTTCGCACTGCCGTCCGGGGAGGTTCCCTCTTTGTTCGGCGGGACTATAAAGCCGTCGCTGCTGCCTCGGCCTAGCTGGTAGTACGTGTGTAGCTGATGGACGTGGTTCCTGGAGCCGAGGTTGGGCATGCTCTTGTAGTAAACATCATCCGCGTCACCGCTTTTTGCCGGCGGGGGGTCGGTCTGGGTGCTGGCGGCAACGCTTTCCGCCACGGGCATGCCGGCCAGCGTGGGCATACTGGTGTACAGAGAATCCCTGTTGGGCGACTGGAGGTCGTCTGTGTGCTCGTTGGTCAGCAAGGGGAAAAAGCTCTCGCTGTTGTCCTGTGGGATGCGCCGCCGGCTGTAGAGATGGGGCTGGGGGCCATCAGCCGAGTACACACGGGGGGGCAGCAGCGGGGCGTCTGACTCCTCGTGGATGAGCTCCAGGCCCAGGCTCTCCTCGTGGGTGAAGGAGGTGGCGTCGTCCAGCACGATGGCGTCGTCCTCGCTCCCGCCGCCCACGCTGTTGACGAGTTTGTTCATCAGGTTTCGGCTCTGCTCGCTGGAGCGCTCGTGGTTGTTCAGGTAGGAGGGGATGTAGTTGGAGGTGAGTTCCTTCAGGATCTTCTTCTCGAGGGCGTTCTCAGTGTGGTTGTACCCGCGGTCGAGGATTTGCACGCAGTTGCTGAGGTACTCGCCGCTGGCGATGCTGTAGCTGTTGCCGTGATTACCATTCAGTGGTAGAGTATCCGTGACACTTGTATCCCTGGCATTGTTCAGAAGCCCCTCTGAAAAACATTACACAAGAGAGGGTGACTTGTACAAACAGGACACTCACGCGGGACGTGCACACTCACACCCTTCCTAGGCTGCCACAGGGCCGGGGAAAAGCGAGCGGCATGCCGTCTCACACTAGGGAGACTGCTTCATCCCACGTGTGAGGGTGCAGCTCCACTTCGCTGCCTTAAGGCCTCGCCGCTGATTTAGGGTCTCGCTGCTGGAAAACGGAGGGCAATAGCTAGCAGGAGGGAATAACCTCTCCCTGCCAATATTTCCTCTCTCTGTTGTGCACTGCTGCTTCCAGAGGGTCTGGGATTTGCTCTGCATGTTCCCTGGGAGCTGAGCGATACGTGAGCCTTAACTGGGCCAAAGTGCCCTTGCTGCAAGGCTTTGGCAATTCACCCCAGCTGAGGAGAAGTATTTGCTGTGTAGGTTAATCATCAGCCGAACTTCACTTGGGACTGTATCCTTACTGGCTTCGGAGGGGGGAAATAAATCTGCACTCCCTATCAGAGGAAAGGCATGAGTGCTCTGCTAAAGGCAAGATTCGTGATTAGCTCATGCAACCAGCACAGGGCCACAAAGTGCTCCTGTCCAAAGCATTTTTGGAAGAAGACTAAGTATCCTACCCCTCATGGCACAAGGGCACAGCCAAAATGATTTACTTGATCTTGGTCAGGTGGGAGTTTCCTAATGCAATTGGTACAGGGGACAGCTGTAACTGGGTCTTGCACAGCCTTTAAAAATACTTTCCATCTCCCTTTCCAAGTGAAAGCAGAGATGGAAGGTAGAGCAAGTACCATCACTGCCACAGTATGGCAGACATGGTGGGACACACACTGGGGTTGTTGGGACATTCCTGAGCCTTTCCTGCCAACCTTCTTCCCTGCCTGCTGTATTTGAACAGGCAGCCCAGGGAAATATATATGCCTGGCTTGCACAAAGAATGCACAGACAGCTGCATAAATGAGACCTCTCATTTATTCAGCAATGAACTGTCCTGCTTGCTCTGTACCACTGACTGCTGTCTCATTTCTACTGGCCTGTCAACACAGCCAGCACAAGGCTGGGGCTTGATGCCATCCTTACTGACTCTATGGGTTATGGTGGAGGAGGTAGGCAAGGGAGAAGTAACCCAGGCCACAGGCAGGTTAAGCTGTCACACACTGTTTTTTTGTTTTGTTTTGTTTTTTTTATCATGGCCAGCAAAGACAGACATGGGAAAGCACAAAATCCCATATCGACCTTTCAGCTAAGGGCTACGGGTGTTGCCGAAAAATCATAAGCAACTCCCAGCAAGCAGCAGTGGATTAGAGGAGCCATTAGCCGACAATTTAACAGTTGCTCTTACCATGCTTGGTACATGGCATGTGTACCTTCTGAAAATACAGGATTCGGTCTATATCTGCGATGTCATAGTTGTGCGTGACAACGGCTGGAAAGTGCTAGTGCAGGCTTTTTTCTTTCTTTTGAGTAAAATGCCCAAATGCATCTGTCGTCTTTTAGGTTTCTAAAGCTTGGAAGGTGATGCCGTATCCTGGGTTTCCAAACAAACAAGGGGGCTATGCAAAAAGTCAACTAGCTATCACAGACATAGAGCAAAGCCGCTTATTTTCATGTTGGAAGCTCTCCAAATGAGCCATGATGTTTGGGAAGAAATGGGAAGTGAGCATTTCAGGGGGAGGATCGTTTGCAATGGGTGACGGACACGACAGCATCTGTCTGATAGCTGAGTGCCGTATGCATTTAGGCACCAAGCAATGCTTCCGCTGCCAATGCATAGAGCCAGAGGCTGGGAGGGTTCAGAGGGAATTAAATGAAGGCATCACATGTGAAAACAGAGTGAGGTCTGCAATGAAACGAGCAGTATAAAAATACCGTGACCTCGCAAATCAAAAGGTGAAGTTTAAAAGAATTGCACGCACAGCTAAATGAGAAACTAGTTTGGGTAAATGATATCACAAAAACGGGAAATAAAAAAGGAAAGCATCATCTAATCTTCACTATATATATATATGTACACACACACATATATATATACACACACACATACGCACGCATACACAGATATATACATATGTATATTCATATGCTTTAGATTCTTTTGATTTCAAAACTGTGAGATGAATTTCCTTTATTAACTACATCATCTATATGTGATGCAATAAAAGTGAACTAAAAAAAATTACATTTGATATGCAATGTTTAGCTTTACTCCCATACTTGTCTCTCTGTAGGGCTCTAAACGACAGCATGAAGAAAAGGAAAGAAAAAACAACAAGTAAGCTTACAGCGACAGTAGGAGAAACATGAGTAAAAAGCAAATTGATGATGTGCAGAAAAGAGAGTTAACGGAAATAATTTTCACTGCCCAGAGTACATGAATTTGTTACATGGTTTATTTCAGGTTAAAAATATTGACATTTTAGACAGAAAAGTATTTTACCCGCAATATCAATGCACTACAGTTTTATTGAAAATATAATCACATTTAAAACTTCATCCAATGCCATTATAAATGTTCAGCGTGCAATACATCAAGAAATAATCCCTGGAAATGTTAAGAGAAGTCTAAAGCTGGCAATGGTCATGCTTGAAAAGACAGGCACTGTCAATGTCATTTCCAGAGTCTTAAAATGAATGGCTTTACTTACTGTTAGTTCTAATAACCCCTGGCAGTTGAAACTGAAATCCATTTCCTTGCTAAACTGTTTTGCTGTCCATCCTTTGCAACAGCGCTTTGCAAGAGTATGACTTAGCTCATCATGGGGCTGTTGGCATTTAAAAAACTTTTGCAAGGAAGCGTTTCCTTTCTGTTCTTTTTATAACCAAACACATGGAAAATTACATGGAATTTGCAAGCAAATGTGAGAGAAATAGTAGTTCGAATAATGGCATCTCTAAATGAAGCTGCTGAGAAGGAAGAGTTAAAAAAAAAAGCAGAGCCAGAGATGAAGATGAAGAGCCATTGTTAAGTGTCAGCTTCTCACTTTGCATTGGTCTGCGGGACACTGTGATTTAAGCAGAGCTTGTTACGGGATTTCCTTCTTCTCTTAAACTTATCAATCACAAAAGCAGTTAGGCCATTTTGACACGCTTATGTATCCAAGAGACTGAGTGAGTACATATCCATCAGATGCAAAGGGTAGTGAGTGCTTCGCATGTGCCGCGGGGTGCCAGGCTCCTCACCTACCATCTCCTCCTCCTTTTACACTCTGTCCTGTGAAGGAATTGGTTTTGTCACTAGTACATGGCCTCTGGCCTGTTGGGTTCTCATTCCCAGCTTCTTTGCAATGCTTTTTAGGGCTCCCAGCCCCTGCTGAGACAGGGCAGCTTCAGCTTGAACAGAGAAGGTATTTTAAAGCACGGAACTGGAGAGGAGGAAGGGGAGACCACCCCAGACTCCACATTTATCGTCTTTATAGAGTCCTGTCTCTGTCAACGGCCAACAACAGATGTGGCAGATGAAGGTGCAAGAAAATCATGTGGAATGAGTTAGTAGGGCAATGTTAGCTAGCATGCCTTCCCTGCACTCCAATCCCAGCCCTTGTAGATTGTGACAGCATCTACTTTTACAATGTGTTATCATTACTTTAGCCAGGTTGCTGGTGCAGCGCCCTTAAAGCGCAGAGAATCCAAATGGGTTTTGCAAAGTTTCCTTTCCACTGCTGGTTCTCCTAATATGCACACTTTGTAATGGAATGCTTTGTCCTAAGATAATAGCCAGTTTGAAAAGCAAAAGCTATACCACTTTCTTTGATCATTAATTAACTTGCAGCCTCCTGAACATAATAGGTCGCATTCTGCTGCCTCTGAAGTCAAAGGCAAAGCTCCAGTGGCTCGAGTGGGATCAGTAATGGTCGCACTTTCTTTAATATACTAGGGATGTAGGCTGGGCAACTTTCTCTGTCATCCATCTGGCTGTGTTGCACTGAATAGCATGTTCAAATCAGTAACACTATTTGTGGAATAATGTACTGTTAACTCAGGTAATTGTATCAGAATCCAGTCTCATAAACTAGAAGAACATAAGATTATTAAAATGCATGTAAAACCTTTTGTCACATTTCCACTCAAATCACTTTTGTCCATTTGAGGCCCCCAGACCTGAACCTCAGGACTTGCCTTAAGTCAGATACTGACCCAGCATTACCTGCTGCCACTTGATTTAACAGTCCCTCAAATCTCAATATTATCATGCAAGAAGACATACAGAATATGAAAGCTTGTTTTGACATTTGTGATACACTAAAGATCTTAAAATTCAGAGCATTTCATGCTTAACAGTAGCCCCTTTTTAGAAGACATCAGTGGAAGCAAATTTATTGCACAATGTTAGCATAGCTTAAGAAATTTCTGAACAACAGAAAGGTCAAACACATGTGCTTCCTTGTGGACTGAATGAAAATACCCTAGTGATACATTTCAATATCTATGTCTGTTATAAACAATACACTGGTATTTAGCACAATGGGGGTTTTACTGCTTCCATTATAACCATCATTATTCTCCCTTCCTTAGGGATCCTTTATGGGAAATGGGCTCCTTCATTAGAGGGGAGAGGTGAAAGAGCGCTACCCACCAAAAGAAATGGTAGAGCAGGATGGAGCTGGAAAGCTCCACACCTCAGCTGCTCTTCCATCCCGGTCAAACACCTCAGCTTGGCCTGGGCAGCAGCACCAAGACAGCAGCCTACAAACACTGCCCTGTCCCCACAGCTGGAGCAGAGACACACACACTGGCGACAAGAGAATGACCTCAGAGAGGGAGCCTCAGCTGAATACGACTGACTCTACCTGCTCACTTCTCGTGCACAGAACAATGTGTCAAGAGCTCTGAGCTTCCCTACGCCTTTTTCCATTCCTTCTTTCTTTTTACTTTGTAATAGAATATACAAAATGTATTAATGCAAAGAGCAAAACATTTTCTCCAACGTCTAAACTCTGCTCTTTGGAGCTGACCTATGCTCCTCTCTTCAGCTGTCATTTCTTCCTACAAATCAAGGGCATTTTTGCTTTGTTTGGCATTTTTTTCTTGTGCAACCTCCAGCAGACATACTGGTGTGCTGCTGACCACATTTCTCTCTGCCATTTCAAACAACAGCAGCTTTGGTGTCAAAGGCCATTTTAGCTTCACTTACCTTCAGAGGTGTTCCTGCTTCTGAAATGAATGGTTTAACAAGGAAATGTGCAGACAACAGAGAAATGGATACATCTGACAAAACACACACACAAGACCAAAACAATACAAAAGCGAGGGGATTAAAAAAAAAAAAATCAAAATCAAAACCACTATGAAAGTTTTGAGTAGAACTGATGAGTGTCTCTTAAAGTGAACTTGATTGCTCATGGAAAAAAGCCTACACAAAATGGAAAAATGCACTGAAATGAAAGAAAAAGGAGGATCGTTTCTGCGCCCAGTTCCAAAAAAACAAAGCGTTTGGGGGGGGGGGGGGGAAGAAGGGAAGAAGAAAAAAAGAAAGAAATGGGCAAAAATAAGCCACAGAAAATGGAATTCTCACTAGAAAAATTAGAGAGAAACTCCAGCACACCTTGTGCGTTGTACATGCTGACAGAAGGGTTGTTATAGACCGCCGATTCCCCGAGCAATGTATTATAAGGGTTGTTAGTGCCATGAGGACGAAGCAGAGCATTGGTTATAAGATGATTAGCCATGGCTCCTGGAGCAGCCCGATAGGAAGACAGAGAAAAAACAAAAAAGGTCAATCAGGCAAATGTGGCATAAAAAAAAAGGAAAAAGAACATTCAGAATGACAACAGTTGAATTAGTCCTGATTACAAGCAGCCAGCTAATTAGACTTGAGAACTGTAGGCCACTAAAGCAGCACAGATGTTACTGACAATGCACAAATCCAAACTGATGCAAAAGAAAATGGATCAGAAAGCAGATAAGCTACATTTATGGTGGTTCCCCAGTTGCTCGGAGTGTAAGCAAGGCTATGCCCACATGCTTGCTACAAATAAACAAAGAAAGATGGCAGCCTACACAATGGCGGGGAGGTGGGGGGAACTCTCCAAAAAGTGCCAAATGAAGAAGAAAAAACAAAAAAGACTAACATAAAACAGCACATTCAGTTCCCACTGTGGCCTAGGATCTCTCTTACTGGTCCCTTGAAATGTATTTGAAACTGAAATAGTATAATTAAAAAGAAACGATGGAAAATGCAACCTCTTCAAAGGCTCTCAGCACTTATTGGAGAGCTCTGCTATGGCCACCAGTTTCTTGTATCTAAAAGGATGAGTTCACTGCAGCTCCTGCTCTCAGAGGCTGTCCAGTTCCTCCTGGCAGGCGGGTAATGAGAGCACCTCGGCCTGGCAGGTGTTGCACTTGGGACTGAAAGCAGACCATGGGGACATATGTTTGGAGAGTCCCTGTTTTCCAAGCAAATGTCTTTTTGCCTTCCTTCCTGTCATTTCTGAATACGCAGCCAGCAGTCAGCCTTCCCCTTAGGTTTGCCCCTTGGAGCTGCAGATTCTGGACTTCTGCTTTTCAGGATCATCACAGCTTAGCAAGTGGATGCCAAGACCCACCCTGTTTCCCACCACAAGCATCAATCCCTGAAGCAAAGCCTCCCCCCTCCTCTTGTTGACCTGCAGGACCAAAAAACCATTAAACCCTTGTCCTGTTAAGTCTCCCCTGGGATCCAGAGAGGCAGATGACTCAAAAACTCACCCCAAGACAATTCCCACTCTCATTGCAGGAATACTCAAGGGCATAAAGTAATTTTCATTTACTTCCTGGGCTAGAACACTAGAACAAATCCTTCCTACTAAGAAAACAAGTCTTAAATGGGGCAATTTCAAGGCTATCAGCAGGCAAAGAGAAAGGGAAGAAGCACAAAAAACAGACCACCATCTTTTCCCCAGCCCAATCCTCTTCCAGGGCACCAGAACCTCCATCCCAGACCCCCACATTCCAGCTTGGCCCCTAGCTGGAGTGGTAGGGTTAACTGGCTTCACCAACATCTGCTGCCCAAACCCAAACAAGTGATTGGAAAGCAAATTCCTCAACACCAGCCACTCTTTTGGGGTCATCTTTGTCACCTATGGGATGCAGAGTCCACCATCTGCCTCTCTTGGGAGTAAAGAGTAAAGGTGGCCGTGTGGCGTGGTAGAGGCGGGCTTTGCAAGACGCTGATGTTCTGGGTGCAAACTCTTCTCTGCAACTAATAACCTGGCTTCCTCCTTTTTTTTTTTTTTTTTTTTTTTTTGATGCCATTG